CGAAAAAAAAATCTAACATGCATTTATGTAGTGACTGTCTGAATGATAAAATAACAGGTTCGTATAAGCAATTCAAAATATCGTGAAAATAGAGTAATAAATCGTTAATAGGTATGACAGCGTAATAAATCGTGGGAATAAGTAATTTAGAATATAATAGAAATTGGTCTGTAGTACCGACTGAATATGAGGATAAAGAACAGTGAAATATGATGTTCTGATAAGTCGCAGTAGAGTAAATAGAGTCGCTTAGCGATGAGTGTATTCGAATTTACATAACTGAAGTTTATGTGAGATAAGAAGTAATCCAGCCGTAGGAAGATGACTGCATCAACAGGTGGTATTCATTGCTGTACTGCAATTGATTATGATAATAAAATGCGAAGTCAGTGTGCGTTGTCGCTTGCGTTGAGTTATCGTTAAATATGTATTAGTAGAATGACCGGAGGAACAGAATAGTGACTGCTGAAACGAGATATGCGGAGTCGGATTCCTTTATGGTCATGCAGCCTAGCGTGGTTTGTGTAGTTAGAGGGATATGCGCTCAACCTCATTTGTTACGAAACCGTTTTAAGGCATGATAAAAATACCAATACATATGATTGTCGATGACAGCGAGTGAGACTGACTTGGATGTGACGAACAAGAGTATATCTTTGAGAGACTAGCTCTAAACTCTATGTTCTGGTGTATAGTGCAATGGAAATAGGATATTAATTGCAGCAATCGAATAGTGATTATCGGTAATGGATGATGCAGCATTCAGATATAAATGTGAATAAATAGATAATATGAGCATAATCATTACTAATCGGCTGGTAATGCGGCGTCGAATACTTGATTTGTGTATAGACATTAAAGTAGGGATCATCGTAAAACAAAAATTGCGAAAGTTCGGTTCAGGTTGTAGCTGAGAATGTAGGGGACGACGGTTGCTGCGTACCAATGAAATAAATGAACATTAGTTGCATCGAGAACATAAGTTCCTACTACCGGGAGTGTGACTCCAAACTTATGTCTATGATAGAGTGTAATATTAGACCGAAAATGACATGAAAAAGAAAAACTTGGAACGAACTCACCTAAATCAGCAAAATTTTACGTCATTGAATAATGAAAATAATCCAGTGAGTTTCGAATATCATAACGTGTAATGTCCATATAATTATAATTTGTTCGATTAGTGATATGACTGCGTACATGCCATAGTTTAATGTCAATAAGAACAAAAATAATAATTCCACGTTAGATGATGATATGACATTATTGTAATAATGAGCATATGATGATTATTCGAATCATAACGGAATATGTCGTCGGTCGTTCCATTTTTGATATGCGTTCGCTCGTTGCGGTCGCCAATTATGTTGTGAGTTCGTACGTAGAGGTTGTCGATTCTGGTCCGGGTTCGTTCGGCGAGACATCCAATTCTGTAGCGTCGTGCTCGTTCGGCGAGGCCTCCAATTTTGTTGTAGCGTAAATCTGATTCTGTCTATACTCGTATGTAATAAATGACTTTATCCGCGTTGGTGAACAACGGAGTTAAATACGTCAAATACGAGAATAGATTTAGAATACATATATTTTCTACAGTCATTGATCTGGCCAGAGAATCAGAGTGATGAAGCGAATAAAAGCGAACGAAGCGAAAGACCATGCGCAATGGAGATTGGCTGGGAAGCCAACTCGAGAGCGAAGCTAAATAATGCGTATTGGAGATGGCTGGGAAGCCAACTCGATTTAAGCAAGCGTTAATCAACATTTATAGTCGGACAAAAATGAATGACAGACATGTGATAGGTAGGATAAGAAGGGTACATACACATGCGCTCATATAACAAGGTAGTCAAGGTTAGTAAGCGAGTAATTAACAAGATCAAAATATGACTCATAATGGATAGGCGAATTGGCTTGGCCAGCAACTAGAATAAAGTATATGGGCTTAACATAAACACCGATACTACATAGCCCCCTTGTAGAAAATAGCACATTTATAAAAAAATGTCTGTTTTCGAAAAATAACACTGAAGCGGTATGTAGAAAACGTCAAAATGTTAGAAAAAATGGTACAATACCTGATAAATTACAGTGTCATGTGAGGGGTGAGCGTATTATTCGAAAGTGTCATACTTATGTAAAAATGTACATGAATATTGTCAAGATGCGGACAAAAATTGAAATGCTAGGATGTGATTATGAGTACATTAGTAAGCGTACGAAAAAAAAATCTAACATGCATTTATGTAGTGACTGTCTGAATGATAAAATAACAGGTTCGTATAAGCAATTCAAAATATCGTGAAAATAGAGTAATAAATCGTTAATAGGTATGACAGCGTAATAAATCGTGGGAATAAGTAATTTAGAATATAATAGAAATTGGTCTGTAGTACCGACTGAATATGAGGATAAAGAACAGTGAAATATGATGTTCTGATAAGTCGCAGTAGAGTAAATAGAGTCGCTTAGCGATGAGTGTATTCGAATTTACATAACTGAAGTTTATGTGAGATAAGAAGTAATCCAGCCGTAGGAAGATGACTGCATCAACAGGTGGTATTCATTGCTGTACTGCAATTGATTATGATAATAAAATGCGAAGTCAGTGTGCGTTGTCGCTTGCATTGAGTTATCGTTAAATATGTATTAGTAGAATGACCGGAGGAACAGAATAGTGACTGCTGAAACGAGATATGCGGAGTCGGATTCCTTTATGGTCATGCAGCCTAGCGTGGTTTGTGTAGTTAGAGGGATATGCGCTCAACCTCATTTGTTACGAAACCGTTTTAAGGCATGATAAAAATACCAATACATATGATTGTCGATGACAGCGAGTGAGACTGACTTGGATGTGACGAACAAGAGTATATCTTTGAGAGACTAGCTCTAAACTCTATGTTCTGGTGTATAGTGCAATGGAAATAGGATATTAATTGCAGCAATCGAATAGTGATTATCGGTAATGGATGATGCAGCATTCAGATATAAATGTGAATAAATAGATAATATGAGCATAATCATTACTAATCGGCTGGTAATGCGGCGTCGAATACTTGATTTGTGTATAGACATTAAAGTAGGGATCATCGTAAAACAAAAATTGCGAAAGTTCGGTTCAGGTTGTAGCTGAGAATGTAGGGGACGACGGTTGCTGCGTACCAATGAAATAAATGAACATTAGTTGCATCGAGAACATAAGTTCCTACTACCGGGAGTGTGACTCCAAACTTATGTCTATGATAGAGTGTAATATTAGACCGAAAATGACATGAAAAAGAAAAACTTGGAACGAACTCACCTAAATCAGCAAAATTTTACGTCATTGAATAATGAAAATAATCCAGTGAGTTTCGAATATCATAACGTGTAATGTCCATATAATTATAATTTGTTCGATTAGTGATATGACTGCGTACATGCCATAGTTTAATGTCAATAAGAACAAAAATAATAATTCCACGTTAGATGATGATATGACATTATTGTAATAATGAGCATATGATGATTATTCGAATCATAACGGAATATGTCGTCGGTCGTTCCATTTTTGATATGCGTTCGCTCGTTGCGGTCGCCAATTATGTTGTGAGTTCGTACGTAGAGGTTGTCGATTCTGGTCCGGGTTCGTTCGGCGAGACATCCAATTCTGTAGCGTCGTGCTCGTTCGGCGAGGCCTCCAATTTTGTTGTAGCGTAAATCTGATTCTGTCTATACTCGTATGTAATAAATGACTTTATCCGCGTTGGTGAACAACGGAGTTAAATACGTCAAATACGAGAATAGATTTAGAATACATATATTTTCTACAGTCATTGATCTGGCCAGAGAATCAGAGTGATGAAGCGAATAAAAGCGAACGAAGCGAAAGACCATGCGCAATGGAGATTGGCTGGGAAGCCAACTCGAGAGCGAAGCTAAATAATGCGTATTGGAGATGGCTGGGAAGCCAACTCGATTTAAGCAAGCGTTAATCAACATTTATAGTCGGACAAAAATGAATGACAGACATGTGATAGGTAGGATAAGAAGGGTACATACACATGCGCTCATATAACAAGGTAGTCAAGGTTAGTAAGCGAGTAATTAACAAGATCAAAATATGACTCATAATGGATAGGCGAATTGGCTTGGCCAGCAACTAGAATAAAGTATATGGGCTTAACATATACACTGATATTGCAACATGTCAATCTCAGGGTGTTTCATAGCTCTGGAGATAATTAAAGAATACACTATGAAATGTAAGGAAGAATTGAAGACATTAATTTGTACATGACAATGTGTGATGGGAAACCAGGATTATTTTCAATCAACTGTGTCGAATCAGGTTTCCAAATACTCATCTCGACTTATGCAAAATTTACAGGTTGAGGGACGTGATTTTCAATTGGTGGATATCGAAATTCTAATCTTGTCTAGTATTTTGATTAGAGAGTTGATTCGGCAGTTCTTAGTGTTATTGCCTGGCGTTGTATACTGTATGACGAAGCTTCGACTCATCTGTTTTACTAGTTGAGGTTACTTCTGGTAGGTTCTGCTGATTCAACCCAGTGCATGTGTTTTTATTGTAACTGATTTATTTATCCATTTCATAGGATAATGAATCAAGAAACGGTTGATCCTTTTTCATTTAGAAAAGTCTTCTTCTATTCACAGGATGGTTCATGTATTTGTTATATGGCTCAGTCTTTTAAATGTTGCCCCTTACACTGAATAAACGGAAGTGTCTATAGATTTGCACGTACACACACACACACTTCAGTTTAGTATTAGTTTTGAAGAATGTCATGATGTCTGTACATGAAATCAACTTATAGTTTAAGCACATAAACTATTCTAAAGTAAAAATCAATGGAGACTAAAGTGTTAAAATACCTTCAAATCATTTAGTGAGAATACTTTGAACTGTAATACGGTTTTGTTTTTACAATTTACATATGACACTATATATTTAAACGCAAATTAGATGTTATCAGTTTGTATATGACAAATAAATCGAAATGTCATTCATTTTAAAGTTATTCATCATCTTACACTTCAGAATTGGTTATCTTTTTCTCTATACATACGAACTGGTTTCAATATTGTTGACAAAAGTCAAATCAACATTAATGAACCCAATTAGATGGTTAATTCAAACTGATGCGTCATTCAAAACTACTAATCTACCCCACAATAAAAAGTTACTTAGATATAAATTATATTTAGATTATGCTCTAGATTTGTTGAAAACTACTAATAGATCTAATGTAATGGAAGCTATCGAAATTATTTTATGTAAATTCTAATTTCAGATTATATTTATATAAATATTTCTTAAAATGTAGATATTTTAAAAGACAACAAATTGACCAAACTACAAAGTGATTGTTTATATCATTTGGCTGTTGGCTTCTTAAAATTGAATGTAATTAAAAATGATTGTTTTATTCTTTGATAATAATGTTCTTTTGTATTTATTCGTTTGATAGGACTATCATAATGCTGCCATTTATTGTCAGTGTTTATTAACAATTGAACCAGATAATCAGAGAATCAAGGATCTGTTGATGGAAATCAAATCACGCTCGTTTGAAGGTAATGATTATCTATGAGTATATGTACACATATATATTACACAGAAGTAATTCTGTTTTACCATTTTATGCAAGTACATTTCACCTACATCTCCATAGTGGATATAAACAGTGTGAAGTTTGTAACAACATCAACGTAAATTCACTAATATCACTTAACTGAAAGGTACATGAATAAAGGAAGATGTGTTTATGTCTATAGTTTGTCTTTAAACACTGATCAGTATTTTATCGTGACGTTTTCAATAACGCCGAAATGAGTTATGAAATATGCTAACTACAAATAATAATGTGTGTTTGAAATTTGAACTGCCAGATGAATAATTACAATAGTTCAGTCTATCCCTTGTTTTTTCGGTTTTAGTATCAGTGATAAAAGTAGGACTGGATTCAACTCCATACGTTTTGTTTATTTTTATGTTGATGAAACGTGATGCAGTCTGTTCTTCTTCAGACAATTCCACGGAAATACAGTATGTTATTCGTCATGTTGCTCAAATATTTTTACGTGAGGAATACTCTGGATTTTGTCAGGGAATTTCGGTTTTGTGTACCTTCCTGTGATGAAGAAAGTACCAGTATATTCCTTGGAGGCTTGTGACTGACTTCAACAAATTAGTGCTTGTTCATGGAATTTTAGCAGCTATGATCCCTTTTGGATGACAGAAGACAAAAATGACTGGGAGGTGAATGAATTCATTTATCTTCACATCAACATTACTGACTTCTTATTGATTACTATGAGTGTATGCACTTAGTTCATAGATAAGTGTTGGACAGTTAAGCTGCAGATTGTGGAATCTGTTGATTAGCCTGATGTTTTTGTCAAATAGGACGAATCGATCTCCTAACTTTGATATTCACATGTTAGGAATGATACATCTGTTTACTGTATTCTGCTAAATACGAACAGTTCGAAACCCACAAAATCACTTTGATCACTGATTAATCATGTAACACAGAATATGTCTATGTGATGTCAGTATGTGCCTACCACTAATATGGTCTGTGAAATGTAAAATTATGTAGGTCCATAATAAAATCTGATGACCCGCTGAATGCAAGGATTTTGAAATCTTCATCGATTCTCTGTCTAATTTTCAGTCCATTATGACTTGCTCTTCATGATTCATTCGCAATTTTCAAATAACATGAATTACATCCACTACTGAAATAGAATACGTAAACATAATGTTGGTTAATTTCGAGTTCAGTATGAGTAGAGACGTCATTCACTTATAAATCTGTCATGATTACTATACTGTCTCAATTTGATGATATTTAAGACTAGTCGGTGAGGTCTATCCATAACCGTGAGTTTGAACACTGATTGCTTTGTGTAACGTGGTCAGTTTGTAGGATAATGGATTCTTATCTTGTAATTAGATCAATCTTTATCAGATTTTTAACGGTTACTCCCTTTTCACTTACCAATATGTATTGGCAATTTACTTTTAAATAATTTTAGGACTCTTATCGTCTTCCCTTTCTTTTATTTCAAGTTCTTTGTTTCACTCGAACGAATTTCGATTAGTTGAATCCTTATGATTTTTGGTGATATTACCGACTTCAATTTTGTCATAATTTATTATTTGCTCATTAGCATGGAAGAGGACTAGTAGATTTTCGTTAAATAAATTGAAATTTAGAAATTCCTGCCACTGATATCTGCATTTGTTTATACTGAATCACTCGATCCAAACTGTTTTCTAAAATATTGACTGTATTATATGTAAATTGACGTTGTGATTGGTTACTTGCTTTCATGTGATGCTGATTTACCTTAGTAAAAGATTTGTTTCGTGATTTAAACCAAAAAACACTTTTCAACTAACCATAAACTACTTGATTACAATCAATCAAAGCACTTTCAATTCTATTTTATTTTTCATTCTAAGACAATAAATGTTATTAGCATCTAATTAGAATGTGGTACAATAAAAAGAATGGACCACAAGAAGCACCATCACAAGGAATGGATCACTGTTGGTACACTGGATAAGATAGAAGAAAGGAGAAACAAGGGGGCAGCAATCAACACCAGCCGAACAAGAGCAGAAAAAGCCAAGGCACAAACTGAATACACTGAAGCAAACCAGCAAGAAAGGAGGAGCATCAGAACCGACAAACTTAAATATGTGAAAGATTTGGCAATGACGGTGGAGAAGGCTGCAAGAGAAGGAAGCATGAGAAAATTGTATGATACAACAAAGAAACCTGCTGGAAACTAACGTAAACCAGAAGGACAAGTGAAAAGCAAGGATGGTAAGGTAATCACCAACATTGAAGTACAACGGAACGGGTGGGTGGAACACTTCAAAGAACTCTTGAATCTACCAGCTCCACTGAACCCACCCAACTTCGAAGCAGCACCCACAGACCTCCCAATCGATGTTGGCCGACAAACAATTGAAGAGATCACCATGGACATCAAGAGCGGCAAAGCAGTGGGACCAGACAACATCCCGGCAGAGGCACGAAGAGCAGATGTAGCAGCAACTGCCGAGATACTCCACATTCTCTTCAGTAAGATTTGGGATAAAGAACAAGTGCCAGCAGACTGGAAAGACGGACTTCTGATCAAGATACCAAAGAAAGGCGATCTCAGCAAATGTGACAACTACAGGGACGTCACTTTTCTCTCAGTACCAGTAAAAGTCTTTAACAGGGTATTGTTATATACTAGGGAAGAAGTAAGTACGGATAACTTACGGGACCTATTATTGGACTATCATTATATGTATATTCCTATTGTACAACTATTCAGTAACTAGATTATCTAAATCTATATTCATCTTATAACAAGCTTCATTTTGACTTATTGATTATTATTATATGATTTATTGTTCCTATGTTATGCTCAGTTTATTTAATATTGTCTCCCACGCTTACAGCCTCATTTGGCTTCGTTTTGTACAAATATTATTTTCTATTTTATGGTGTGGTGTGGTCTGTCTGTCTGATATATAAACAAAATATGCTTGACATAAATGATTCATATTGCCGAGGCTGCTATTGGTATTCTGGACTCAAGTGGACGGGCTAGGCAGATTAAGGGCCAATAAAGGCGCTAGATTACTCATACTAATCGAACGTCATTGTCACAGTGTGAAGGTCGTAGAAGTCGTATTTCTATTAGCGGATAACTCACTCAAGTTACGTCCTTGTTTAATTTGTAAGGTCATAACAAATTAGCGACGACCTTGAGCAGGTCATAATAATTGGCCACGGCCTTGATCAAGACATAACGATTGGCGACGGCTAGGTCAAATCATAACAGGTTTTGTTAAACAAAATGGGGGACTCCGTAGGCTCTCAGCTTCGAGACCAATAAGCTGGATTCAGGAAGGATCAACTGTGTACTGAGCGAATCGCAACTCAGCGGGTCACTGTGGAACAATAAATTGAATGGAATTTATCACTCCACATCAACTTCATTGACTACGAAAAAGCATTTGATAGCATAGACAGGACAAAACTATGGAGGCTTCTTCGACACAACGGTGTGCCTGAGAAAATAGTCAATATTATACAGAATTCTTATGATGGATTAAACTGAAAAGTCGAGCATGGAGGACAACTCACTGACTCGTTTGAGGTAAAGACCAGCGTCAGGCAAGGTTTCTTACTCTCAACCTTTCTCTTTCTCCTGATGATCGACTGGATCATGAAGACGTCAATATCTGGAGGGAAGCACGGGATACAAAGGATAGCTGGGATGCAGCTGGACGATCTAGACTTCGTGGATGATCTGGATCTTCTATCACACCCGCAACAACAAATGCAGGAAAAGACTAATAGTGTGGCAGTAGCCTCAGCAGTGGTAGGTCTCAATATGCACAAAGGGAAAAGCAAGATGCTCCAATACAATAAAGCATGCACCAATCGAATTACACTTGACGGAGAAGCTTTGGAGAATGTAAAAACATTTACGTACCTAGGCAACATCATTGGTGAACGCGGTGGATCTGATGCAGATGTGAGGGCGCGGATCGGCGAAACAAGAGCAGAATATTTAAAACTGAAGAACATCTGGAGCTCAAAACAATTGTCAACCAACACCAAGATCAGAATTTTCAATACAAATGTCAAGGTAGTTTTACTGTATGGGGCGGAGATGTGGAGAACTACGAAGGCCATCATCCAGAATATACAGGTGTTTATTGACAGTTGTATACGCAAGATACTTTGGATCCGTTGACCAGATACAATCAGCAACAACTTACTGTGGGAGAGAACAAACGAGATCCTAGTGGAAGAAGAAATCAGGAAGAATCGATGGAAACGGATAGGACACACATTGAGGAAATCACCCAACTGTGTCACAGGAAAAGCCCTCACATGGAATCCTGAAGGCCAAAGGAGAAGAGGAAGATCAAAGAACACATTACGCCGAGAAATAGAGAGAGACATGAGAAGAGTGAACAAAAACTGGATAGAAGTAGAAAGGAAGGCCCAGAACAGAGTGGGCTGGAAAATGCTAGTCGGCGGCCTATGCCCCATTGGGAATAACAAGCGTAAGTAAGTACAATAAAGAGAAATGTATCTATTGAGATAATAAATTTTGTTTAGTGAAACTTCGAGAACAAAAACGCTTCGTGTGACCATGATTTTTTGGCGAACCACATCAGCCATGTAATCTCGCCTGCATGTGACATTCTCATACCTGGCATATGTCGTTTTCATTTACAATATAGTTTTGATTTATCATTGTTGAAAGCGTGAGTCAATTGAAGCTAGACCACCATGGAAAACCTGGAAACACTGGACGGCCGTTTCGTCCTATTATGAGGAGTCCCATAATAGGACGAAACGGCCGTCCAGTGTTTCCAGGTTTTCCATGGTGGTCTAGCTTCAATTGACTCACGCTTTCAACAATGATAAATACTAAATCTCCACAACAACCCCTTCTATAATTAATAGTTTTGATTGTTTTATGGGAAAGTGAATAAAATGGAATATTTTCTCAAAAGCTCTCTTTCTTTTTTCTTTGTTTCGCATAGATATTCAGAATAAATCCGCCATAGTGAAGCTCTCAACATCGAATTAAATCCTCCATTGACCATTTTACAAGAAGAACTACTTGAAACTGTAGATGTTAGAAACAAAATGCTCAATAATATTCAAACAAATGTATGCATAAATTAACCATCGATTACTTTAAATTAAAACACGTCATCGAACTTAAATTGAAGTATCCATTATTGTCGTTCAAATTATAAACTTCAATATGTTAATATATTTAATTTTCCGATTCCGGATACAATTTATTTGTCTTACTATTCTGTTGAACAAAAGAATGCCATGTATGTGAATGAGAAAATAAAAGGTTTTAATGATGTTATCTGAAAATTGTGAAGTTATTGGATTGTTGGAAATTAGTTAGGTGAACATCGTGGCAACATTTTAGACTGGATGCACTGTTGAATTGTTAACTGAGATTATTTATTTATTTAATCATGAAATTATGCGAATTTCATGTAGACATCCAAGATATGTATGCACCTAATTCATCACAAAGCATTCATTATGTATACTTCAGTTGACACATGTAGCTTAAATAATCAATTGTTCTCCTGTGAGTGGGCCCTATGATGAAGTAATTTTTGACTAAATAAACCGGTTTTATTATACTCTGTAATTGTTGAATGTCGATAAACGGTTCGATTGACCCATGTCGTTGTTCTAATGGTGAATGATAGGGATTCCTCTAACATTATCGAGAACCAGTGGGAACCCAATAGTACAGCCAATGACATACAAAAAGGCTTCAACAATTTTCCTCGAACAATGAAACCGAATTATGTGACACGATTGCAGAAATAGCTTGGTATTCCAGATGTGAAATCTGAAGTAGAACAACTCTGTGTTCGTAAAAAACACCCATAACCCTTGAGACATGCTAACAGACGTCAACCAAAACTGATGGTTAGCGGTTAGAAAACAGCGATGGTCGTGAAGAGATTTGAGTAGAAATGTTGTCCGCAGTTATCGCTACAGAGAATATAGTAACACTATTGATGATAACTACATGATTTAAGGGTCTACTACGAGTAATTAAAGTTATGATCACAAAGTTCATTTTAAATAGGTAAAAGAAACTTTGATCTTATCAACCTTTGGTTGCTAACATTTTTATTTGCTGAATATACAATTTACAAATATTCCGAGTCTTTGAGTTCACCACATAACTTGTTTTCTGTGAATAACTATTTATTTTCATCTCCTTCAGATTGCTCTATGTTCTTTGAAATTTTCTTAGATTTTTATGTAAACTTTGATTCATAATCGGATAATTTGATTTTGTTCTTTTGATTACCACAGGTAGCACAAAACCATATGCAGTAGGATTTGTTTAAGATATTCTGTACACCCTACGAAACTGGTCACATCGAAGAAGTGAACATTGCTCGTTATCAAACTTAGCTTAATTCTGTTGCATTTTCGTTAAAATAAGTACGGCATTTTATGTTCGTCTGTGCAATATCTGATTTTCACCTATCGAAAAACATAAATGGTCATTATGGTTGTCAATAGATTTAGTTATGATTTACGTACCATTCACCTATTCACGGTTTTCTATCAGTTGCATTGAATCACAATTCGGTAGCATTCTTTTAAATCGATACCAACAGTTTAATTTTGCTAATGCTAATCGCCACATTGAAATAAGCACCGACATACGATACCGTAAATCGATTTTAACTAGATTTAAAATAATTAATGTACGGTAAACTATAACGCTAACTATGGTCAGTGGAATCACTATAAGTCGAAATGAAGTGAATTTTGATAGATTTGTTCTAAACAAATCGGTTAAGTGATACAATACTGGCTTGGTGGTTTGCATTCTGAAAACTTTGGCTGTCGCTGGTATTGTTTTAATTTGTTCGTATTTTCTTTGACAAGTGTTGGCTTGTAATTGCCGTTTATATTCTGGACAGACCCTCTTAGTTTCACGGTAAGTGTTTGTATGAACTAATGGTTCTTTTTGTACTCAATTTACGCCTGATTTTGAATTCCAAATACAATATGTTTGTTTATACTCACTTAGTTCTGCTTGACTTAAATTGAGTTATTTCAGGGATTCCTAGTTCGTATAATGATTCGAATACTTCTAATCGTCACAGTGACTCTAAACTGTTCTGAGCCGGTAAAAATGAATGTTTCGAAATCTCATTCCCTGTATTCGAAGATGTTTTTTCTCTCTTGTTATCCACAATGGAGATCTGACGGTTTCAAATGAGATTAATTGTGATCTAAAGGGGAGGTTTTAATCAACTGAATGCATTTTTGAACCCAAACTATGCTTCCTATATGAAGGAGTTGATGCCAGTCCGTTGAGAAAATACGCTTTAATGGTTGATGCAGTTGCTCGTCATATATTTAGGCGAGGTTAAATCTGATAAATTATTATGACTGGAGTTCGGAGCTGAATCGGAAAACTAAATGAACATTGTAAGCAAGAGGTGATGAAAGACTGAAATACAAAACATTCTCAGTTTCGTGTATTAGTACTGAGTTCAATGAAGAGGACCACTGTTTTAAACTAGGGTAATCATTTTAGGGTATATTTTCTGCCAAATTATGTCCCAACACGGTCGTGAGACGCTTAATATCGAGAAAACCGTCTAATGTAATCAATAACAAATCCCCCAATTTAAATTACAAACACTGAAGTGGTCTAATGCTAGCCATTGGTTCTGCTGAATCTAAGGCTCAGTATGTTGTGGAGTAAAATCATGAAACCAGCAGATTGAGCGGAAACAAAATACGTCTATAATTGATCGAAAACCTTTACAAAATTACACGGTATACTGGTGCCTCATCCTTGTTTGGTCGCTCCGGAATGCAGCTGATTTCTCAGCCGTAAATTTGTTGGTGGTTGTTCTTGACCTACAAATATCAGTCAATGCAGACTAGTTTATTCAGAATTTGTACATACATGTTTTTATTGTATCCTCAAACGTGAGGTTTCAAGGTGTAACATTTTGAACAGGTTCTATGATTGTATTACATTACATCCCTGATGAAAACATTAAATTCAAGACATTTCTTGGAAACCGATTTTCAACAGTTCTTGGTTTTCCTGAAGAAGGTTGATGGAAATATGAGGTTCCTAGTGATACACTATCTGAATTTGTGTATACAGATAGGACGTTTACTGATAGTGATGTTCAGATGTGTGGCGAATCCTTGGATTTCATTAGTAAAAAAACCTAGTGCTGATTGTTCGCTAGAAATGTTCTGTTCAGCGATCATCATCTATTGAGAATAACTGATTGTTTTTAAACTGGGTACTTTTAGCAGATTCTATTGTGCTCGTAAAACAAATGATGTTTCGGCCAAAAAAATATGATTATCCTGGAGAGATATTATGGGACTACATCTTCTAATGGCAGTTGAGGCCGGGTTTGGCTGGTTCCTTGTTGTTGTTATAAATTCTAGTAATGACCAATTTTTGTATGGATTCAGGCCTACAGCTGTAAGGTTTAAAACCCGGTTATTATTATATAGCTTGTTTGTTGTGTATGTTTTATTTCTCGATATGATGATCATCGTTTTTATCGGTGCTAAAAATCTCTCCATCTGTGAAGATAACCGATATTCGTTTAATCAAGAGTGCTACCGGAGAATCTTGAAGTAGCTAGCTTACCACGATGAACAAAGTATTGGAAACCAACAAGAAAATCTCAAAAAATGTAGAACATCTAGATACTTTATGTAATCATTCACGTAATGTACAAAATCGCACACTCTAGGATGCGTGAGATACTCATTTGTTGATCCCAATTGCAAACCTGTTGAATCGCTCTTCATTACCACAGTTTTAAAAACAAATTCATCACAAACCTTAAATATCGAGGTTACTATAGGTTGTAAATCTACACGACAACAAGAGTGCAAGAGTTAAACGTGAAGATGAAGTCCAAAATCATCAACTAACCAAGCCCCAGTAAGACGGATACATGAAGTATCAATGGAAACGGGTGATTAATCTAGAATCTGAGGAAACATGTTGATACTTCCATGCCTGTCCCCCTTAATTGCGATCAACGGTGGACGATAATTAGTTACTTCTACATAGCAACGTGACAAAGGAACAACAAATAACAGATATACTATTAGGAGAAATGTAAGTTCAAATAAAACTAAATGTATCTGGACGATACTTTTAATAAAAAGTACGGAAGTTTGGTAGAATCTAGTTATCCAGTCAAACAATAATATTCTACCCAGCAAGAAAGGGTAGGCCAATCAAATGTTCTTCAGATGCAAACAACCAACCAGGAGAATTGCATGAAAATTACAGTTAGTTACTTGATATCAACAGCACTTCAATACCATCTACATAAAAAAGAAGTAATCGGTTTACTTAATCACAAGTGGAGTACAGTAATTTGAATAACCAACGACCAAGTTACAATACCAGGTAAAACATGACTGACATACCAAACAGTGGCCTGACAATATCCAAAAGTCAAAAATATTTCAGAAATTGCGAACAGTATAGAAATAACGGCTGAAAATAAGAGAGAAAATAGATAAAAATGTGCAGACACAGTCAACAACAGTAGGGACGATACATAGAAGGGAAAGTCAAGAGAAAACTTAAATAAAGAGGCAAACTTGCATGGCTTTTCTCATGCATTCATAAATACTTACCCAATGGGAATCAACAGGGAATAATATAGAAAGTGGTAGTTTATGATGAGTTGAATATTTCGCTATTCTTCCTCGACATAATAAGAATAATGTTATTTTTGTGCCGATGGAGCAAATCAGAGAGATACGCTCAGCATGATTTTTCGAAAACGCTTGACCTTGTTCAAGGGTTTTAGAAAGAAAGTGGAAAAATATGATAACATATTAACAATAAGTAAGGAAATAAAACAATGTGGAATAGTAAAATATATGGTGTGTAAACTGATGTGCCAATCGAAAGAAGACCGACCTAAATTGGAGTAACCTGTGATTAAGAATTTATTTCGTGACCAGCTACCGAGCGTTCCGAGCCATTTACTTTCTCGGGCAGGATGTTCACGATGC